TATATATATATTTCAAAAAAAACCCAAGAACATATTATACAGTCATATTATAACCTTTTATAAACTATTTTCCTTTATATGTTCATAAAAAACTGTGATCGAGTCATAACTCTTCCTTGTTCCCCCTCTAATAGTTAAAGATAATATTAAGAATCAGATCATCAACGCCTTAGTTTGGTCCTCTAATATCCGAATCAACGGGTTGTCGTGAGTGGAATTAATTAACCATGGTGGAGACTTATAAACAAATTTAAACATAACAAATAAGTACACATGTTCACGCCTTGAGCAACTAAAAACTCCTATAAGGTTCTCTAGAAAACACAAGCAAGATATGCTTTCAACTACCTCTTAATGTGTATAAAATTTAACAAAGCATTGAAAACTAACCTCCTTGCTTCTGCGCTTCAACAATTACATGCAGAACAAGAGTTGTCTCTCCAGAGGCCTCTGGGCCGTATATCTCAACTACGCGTCCCTGCATAAGTAGATTAATGCATTAGAAAAGAAACATAATTTTAAGCATCGTATCATTCAACAACCTATTCAAATGCAATTCAAAAGAGGTAAAGAAAATGCAATGTAAACAACACAAGTAGGCAAGAGACCTTAGCTAGATGCTCTGGCAAAAAACCTCATTGTGAGCATCAATCAGGACCTCCGAGTCACAAACATAACTAAAATATTCCTCAGCCACAAAAGTGCGCATTGATTATCACGATCATAGGTCCATTAATACAATGCTTAAGATCATGAGTTTATAAGCAAGCATGCAAATATCGAGAAAATACAATGGTCTATAGCAATATGAAACTAAGAACATCAAATCAAATTGGCAGGTAATTATTGCTATGCATCTAATCACCAACCAAGTTCCAAAAGTGCAGTCTACACCCCAAAGCATAGACTTATTCAAAACGTTACTTTAATACTAAATGGACTATAAAACACTTGGACAACGACATTTCTGAATTGAACCATACGTTGCAATATGAACAGCAGGACAAAGAAACAAATAAGATGAAAATGGAGCAACATTATAGCATGGATGAACAAAAATTTCAAGCAAACACCATTGTTATAGTTACTGTATGGTTGTTTCACCACTTCAGCAAGTTCAGTCTCACAACCAACTTGAGATGAAGGGCCTAGTTGTTGCAGTTATTATATATTTTGTATAAGATTACCTACTGAACGTACATATAAATTTTAAATATATACATTCCAATACTTTTAAGCAAAGAGAAATAGGACACAAACACAGTGTAAATACCTTTGGAAAGCCACCAACCCCCAATGCTATATCTAATGCAAAAGATCCTATAGACACCACTGGGACTTGTCTGGGAGAAGCACATTGACCAACAAACATGATAGATCCCTTTCCAAGAGAAGTATTGATTTGATCAATTGCTTGCTTTAAGGCTAGATCTTTTTTAGACATGTTTCTCTTCACCTGAATCACTTCCATCAGACTTTGATTTCTTTTTACCTAAAAGTTGAATGCCATATGACTCTGAAGGTACATACAGGTTCATGTTAGCTTACACACATGAGGATGAAACAAATCAGGATATAAGTCGGTCTTAGGGTAGAACAGGGGTTGGCGTGTTGTCTTCATTCGTTTGATTTGGTCGTTAGCTCACAGTAAACACGACTGGAATTCACAATCAAAAACCCTAAAAAAATTGAATGTTAAAAACAAACCAAATAATTACCTCGAGATGGAAATAGATTGAACGATGGAAGATTGAGAGAAATGCCTGCCTGAGAATCATCATCGAGTGAGAGAAATGCCTGCCTGAATTGTCGTCTTGGGGGAGGGACGACTTTTCTGAAACGTCGTATTGGAAGAGGGGAGCGATGGAAGCGACGCTTTGGGGAGGGTAGCGGGGTGAAGGGAAAGGGTTGAAAGGTGAAGTAGTATAGATAAGGATATTTTGGGCATTTATAATTTTAAGACTTTTAAGGCTTTTAGTGAAATTGTTTAATAAGGTAGTATAGATATATATAAATTATGGAATTACTTAGGTGACACAATAAGAAAACTTTCATTCACCTTCTCTATTTTTCCATAATTTTGAATTTCTTTTAAATAAAAAAACTTTTCGATTTAGCTTTTCATTTAACATCTCGTTTTCTTTATCACTTTATATTATTTTCATTTACACAACATAAATACATCAACAAATATAATTTATATTTGTCTTACATCTTTTACTTTTATTTAAAAAATTATTTAATGGATCCAACATTTTTTTAATTAAGTTTATAGGATTAAAAAATGATGTCTTAGGGTGTGTTTGACAGTTGCTGAATGATTTGCTGTAGAATGATTAAGTTGTCAAAATCATTAAGAGACTCTAATGATATAATGCAAAATAAAATATAATTGTTTGATAATTGTTTACAATGAAACTAGGGCGCAGAATGGTTAAAGAAGACTAATGATACAAAATCATTTAGAGATTTTTAGAATCATTAAGAGACAAATTTTTTTTACCAAACAAAATTTACTTCTTAACGATTCAGATGTTGCCTTTTAATGGAACTATTAAAAGGTAAACAAATAACCCCAGATCTTATATCAACAACATTTTCTAAAGTATTTGACACCCCTATTAAGGAGATGTCATTAACACTTCCTTAATAGTTCCATTAAGAGACAACCTCTGAATTGTTAAAAAGTAAATCTTGTTTGGTAAAGAAAAAGTTTGTCTCTTAATGGTTCTAAAACCATCTGAATGATTTTGTATCTTGGATCTTCCTTAACTATTAAGAGCCCTAATTTCATTGTACACAATAACCAAACAATTATATTTCATTTTGCACTATATCATAAGAGCCTCTAATCATTATGATCACTTAATTATTCTGCATCAAACCATTCAACAATTATCAAACAGCCCCATAAATTTTTTACCAAACGACATTGACATCCGACCAATCGAAAAGTTGGACTCTAAATGACATCATTCAAATTAAATGCCCTAAAACATTTTGCTTAGATGTTTTTATCTTTCTTCGGGGTTGAAAATCAACTTGCAGAAAAGCTGTTTATATGGCATTGGCGTGGGTACCGGTGAAGCTGAGTTTCTTGCTCAAAGAATGAATTGTAAGATCTCCTCTATTCCGTTTCAATATTTGGGTCTTCCAGTAGGAGCGCAGATGGGTAGAAGTAGTAGTTGGAATAAGTTAGTGGATAAGTTCCAAGAGAAACTATCCGCCTGGAAGGCCAAGTCTTTATCGTTTGGTGGTAGGAAGATTCTTTGTAAATCGGTTCTTGGTAGTTTGGGAGTTTATCTTTTTTCTCTGTTTAAAGTCCCGGAAAAAGTGCTTAGCACCCTTGAAAGCCTTCGGAATCAATTCATTTGGGGCCGGTCTGGGCAGAGTAGAAAAATTATCTGGGTTAGGTGGAAAGTTGCTTGCAACACTTTGGACAAAGGTGGTATTGGTATTGGTAGTTTAAAGGCGCTCAATTGGAGTCTTCTTGCTAAGTGGTGGTCGAGGTTTTTAATTGAAGAGGGTAGTCTTTGGAGAGATTGTATAAAGGCGTTTCATGGTGCTAGTGGGTGTATTTTTAGTGACGGTTGTAAGAAACCGGGTGTATGGGGAACTATCGCTAAATGGGATTCTCTCATTCGGAAAGTTGGGTTGAATGTTAATAATTTCTGGGCGGTTGACAGCAATGGCTCTCGCCGCTGGGCTTTATCCGAGGATGGGATTTTCTCGGTTAAGATGTGTCGGGGAAAGATTGACGAAGGGGTTTTACAATCTAACGGAAGTGTTTCGAAGTGGAACAAATTAGTTCCTGGTAAAGTGAATATGCTTATCTGGCGTTTTTCAAAGTCTAGACTCCCCACTAGACATAATCTTTTCCTTAGAGGTGTCCAAGTGAGCTCAGTTCTCTGTCCYTGTTGCCTAAWTCAWACAGMAACGGAARATCATMTCTTGTTTGGTTGTTCGACTACAAAGGTGATCGGTGCGTATGTAAAGAATTGGTGGTCGGGCTTTCCTTGCCAAGCTACCAATTTGGCGGAATTTTTTTCTGCAGCACAATTTCCTTTCAAAGGGAAGAAGGTTAAGGAGGGCTTGGAAGTAATTCTCATGGCGTTTATTTGGGTGATTTGGACGAATCGAAATGCATTGGTCTTCAACAAATCTGGTAAAAATCCGATGGTAATTTACAAGGATATTGTGTTTTTTTCTTTTAATTGGATTAGACTCAGATCGAAGTCTTGTAATTCTCTCGATTGGAATGTTTGGTGTACCAGCCCTTTAATGGCTCTTTTGTAAGTGCTAGCATCTTGCTAGCCTCGGTGGTTTCTTAATAAAATTGCTGTTTCTAAAAAAAAATAAATAAAGTGACGTCACCATTATCTCGCCTCAATTCGAAGGTTCCAAAGTTCTTTTTAAGTGCGTGCATTTTCTTTTGTAATTGTATCATAAGTTTTCCTACTACAGAATTAATTTGTATGGATCGTTTATCTAAATATTTACCCGGTAGTTATTTACCTTTAGAAGTTAACACTATAATTTATTTTACTAGATAAGATTGTAGTACATTAAAATAGTAGAGTATGCAACAATTTACCCGGTAAGCACTTACCCGGGTAAAAGTCGTCACCCTCACCTACCGAGTAATACTCTCCATCTTTATTATTGCTCTTACCGAGTAAGATTTTTGACCCTTACCATGTTCATCAAATATAGGAAAATTATTTGGTAAACACTTACCAGGTAAACGTTTAGTAAACGGTCCCTTAATCTTCACAATCCTTTGAAATTAACAAATTCTCTTGTAATGATAAGAGTAAAATATGTTGAAGATTTTCTTCTAACCGCTAATCTTGACGTTAACAGTTACATAAACCTTTCAAGCCTTTTTGAACCCGTAACCTTAAAAGAGCAAATCCAAACACTTACACCACCTCAATTACCTCTCAAGGTTTGATGTTCGATATTTAGATCGCATTGTTGACACCCGAGACCCAAAAGGATTTACGACGAATCACACATACGGTTGCATATTGGTAAATGCAAATTCATTACACAAGGATTCATAAGTTAATCCCAGATATGTATGTATAAAACTATATGTATCGCCTTATAAATTACACTGAAAAAAGAAAAAGAGGAAGAAGAAAAAATCATTCAAATCATAAGTTACAAAAAGAAAGAGTAAGGGCAAAACTTAACACAGAAGAAGATGAAAGAATTTTTGAACACGTCGTTATAACGACAAATGCACTTCCCGTCCTTATACGGGGTAGTAGGAAAGATCGTGCAATCTTTTCTTCTACGATTGTTTGATTCTGGATAAGTTGGCGTAGTATCCCAAGTCTCGGTTTATTCTCATCTTTTTTGCATCCTTACCAAACATCACGCAGGTATCTTCCCGACATTTGTAGATTCTTAACGTAGTGTTCTGCCTTTGAGGAGTCTAGAGATCCCTGAAATCCACCAAATTATGATTGTTTCGTCAGTTCAAGATCTTAACTATTTCCTCATGTTCTAATGGTATGGAGATTGTTTCAGGTTATGTTTGGCAAATAGCTCGTGGCTGATAAGTTAATTGTTAGCTCAAAAGCAAGCTGTTAAATGATGAATTAATTATGTTCGGTAAAAACTAGCTGATAAGCTAGAGGCAGAGTAAAATGACCTAAAAGGACATATGTTGAAAAGTTAATTGGAGCTTATTGAAACGATACTTGATATAGTGTTTTCAAAAGCTAGTTTATGGCTAACAAAACATGGCCTTTTCAATAAACTCAAAATAAGATGGTTTATAGTCATCAAACATGACCTTAACTTAATGATGTGCAAAAGGGGGAAAAAGGCATGTTACAGTTAATATGACACCTTAAAAATGGTGTCAAATCTCATGGGACAGATGGTGTATTGTTTCAATTTGATTGTCTACAACAGTACAAAGTAATGAAGACAGCAGTATGGACCCCAAAGTATTTAACACCATATAATTATATCTATCACCATCTCAGCCGACTCCGCCCAAATAATCCACCTACCTCTTGGACCCCGAAATTGATTAGGAAACGGAAACCGCCCACAGAGCATCAGGTATCTCTCTTCACATTCATAATGAATATGGAAGTATTATTTATCATAATTACACATTCATGATAAATATGGATGTGTTATTCAACATGAATCACACATTTATAATGAATATGTTACAACATTCTTGATGAATAATCCGTCCATATTCTCTTAATGAATATGCCACGTGTTGCGCTGTGGGCGGTTCCAAAGTTCCTAATTAATTTTAGGTTCCTAGAGAAACCTACCCATACTATATATACATATATATATATGTGGTGAAAATGATGTGAACACAAGGATCTTTCTCTTTGGACCACAAAGATGGAGGGGGGTTGGTTGTATCTAACCGTTTAAAATGAATGGTGTCTGGCATATGGTTTAGAGGAAAAACTAAAAAAGGAATTCAAGATAAAAATACAATTAATCATAGGTTTCGTTGAAGAATTTTTTAACATACCTGTTCTTGCACAATGGTATGCAGGGTTCGGTGTACATCTTTGGCCATGCCTTTGGCATCACCACATACATATAAATATGCTCCCTCAGAAAGCAAGTTCCAGATATCCGAAGCCTGCAGGCACATTTTGTATAAGAAACATGCAAAAACATTTAAATAGGAAGGGGAAATTGCATGATAATGCAACGTACTCTTAAAACCTTCATTTTGGTACCTCAAATGTGACATCTTAAAACATTTAGGTACTTTGGTCTAAATGTTTGAGAAGTCACATTTGAGGTACCAAGATAAAGTTCTTTAAGTATGTCAGAGATCAGAGAAAAGTACGTCGCATTTTCATGCGATTTGCCCAATAAAGACTGATATTTTAATGGTTGTTTTCCCACCTTTTGGTTCATCTTGTGTTGCACATATTCCTTAGTTGGGCCTTCGCGAGAGAAAGCTACAATAAGCTCAGAAAGAGCACCAGTCTCAACGAAGTTATTAAGCTCATCCTCGTATATGAAGTCCTGAAGCAACATAATGATTGTCGGGTTAGGTTTTACCCAACCAAAATATTGGTATTTTTGAAAAGACTTGTGTTTGTCAACATACCACTTTGCGATTCCTGCATCCGAAGAAGAAAATGGATGATCCCAGCTCAGTTCCAGCTTCCTTTAGAGCTAACCTTTCTTGAAGGAAACCCCTAAAAGGAGCCAATCCAGTGCCTGGGCCAATCATGATTACTGGGACTTTAGGATCGGAAGGAAGTCTGAAATTGGACGTTCTAACAAAAATAGGCGCCCAACTGCAATCCTGACTTTCTGTCATAGGTACAGCGTTCTGAAGATAAACAGAAAAGTAGAATTGTTAAGTAAAAGAAAGTCAAAGTCAAAGTCAAAGTCAAAGTCGAAACTTGATTTTCTTGTTTCTCCTTTTCTTGTTTCAGGTTCTTTTTAACCCTAACTTTTCGGTAAATTCCCCTTATTTCTTTGGGGAAACGTTCTATCTATTTCACACACTTTACAAGCTGGGGGTCTACATCAAAACAGCCACTCTACTCTTTTGGCGGTAGAGGCCAGGTTTGCCGCCCTTTTTTTGTGTGTGGGGGGGGGGGGGGGGGGGGGGGGGGGGGGGATGACCACCTTCGGTTGGGACGTACTGGACTTGTTTGGTTTGGTTTTCAAAGTTGAAACTCCATGCAAGTTTCAGCTGTATGCATGTGTCACTAACCACCAGACAAGAAAATGAATTAATACCTTCATCCAGGTGGAACAAACTCCTTTGTGGACACGGCCTGCGGGTGTTTTCTCATAAACTAATGCACAAGTAACATGAATCCTATTTGGTGCCATCCTGTAAAACGAAATGCATATCAATTTTAAAATTGTTCTTGAGTTTTTGTAAATAGAATCCTTGTAAATCAAATTAGCATTAAGACCTACTGAATAGAAAAGAACTTGGTTGTTAAATCAAGAAGTTGGATTAATTTGGATCGAATGTACTCACTTAGGGGAGGAAGAAATAGAGTAGTATCTGGGTTGCAAGCGTGGGGCAACAGCCGCAAAGAAAACCCCAAGTGGAGGCTTAGCTGATGGGAAGGCCTCCATGACTTCAAGAAGGCTTCTTTGGCTTAGAACTATCCACTGAGCATATTCATCCTGAAGAACATTAACACGAGAATGAATAACATCAGTTTCCACATTAAGCACAAACACATTGATCAAACTGACAAAAGAGTCAATGGCCCAATGCCATTTGGATTACTGGTAGATCTCAGCCATCTTGGAGGTCAAGGGTTCAAGTCTCACCAAAAGTGACAAGTGCGTGTGAGTTTTGCCGTATATAAATAAATATACTTCAAGCATTGATCAAACCCAACATTTAAGGCTATGAAAAATATCCCAACCTTTCCAGCAGGAGACGCAAGAAATTTCAGTCTATCAGCTTCAGTGGGATCGGTAGCATGAGCAGCTAGAGCAAGCAAAGCAGACTGAAATACATAGGCATCCAGCATTTGTTAAGCTTAACTCGGATGGGGTTTCTTGAAAATCCAAAGTTATTAGCAAGAGTCACAAAGGCATACCTTTTTGGGAGAACTCAAAACATCTGCATAGCAAGCCAATGCTTTTCTTAGAGTGCAAGGAGGGAAAGGAGGTGGCAAGGAGGCTCCGCCAAGTGGTGTTCCATCCTCTTTATCTGTGTGGACCGAGAAGTATGTGTCTGGTGGTAAACCTACTAATCTTTCAGCCTCATCCACGACTTCACTTAGATTCTCACAGTAAACTCCAACATGATCCCCAGTTTCATATCTGAAATAAATAAATAAATTTGGTTGGTGTGATCTGGCTACGATATCATCTTCATCAACTTTATAAAAGTTCCTCCACATACTGAGTGTGCGTTTGGTAGGCAGACAGAAGTGGACATGGGAGAGTGAGGTCGGCCGGTGAAACAGCTGTTAAGGTTTTAGGGTTTTAATTTGACATGGGCAGTTTAGTAATCTCCCAATATTTCCCCATCTCCCAGATTTTTGTTCCACCCATTGTTCCAGTTCACCAGAAGTCCATACCACCAAAGAACTAAAATTATATATCAGGAACCAAGTAAATTGCAAGAGTGACTTACGATAGTCCGGTGTTAGTGATTTCAAATTCCAAATGAGTGCAAGACCGATCAGATTCAGGGGTATGGAGCTCCTTTTTGACAGCCACATTGGATCTTTACACAGATAGGATTATGTCAGATTGTAGAAGATGTAATAGGGTTAGAAAAAAATGATCAGAAAATTGAACAGGGGATGATACCTGCATGGATGTTGAGCATCATGAACAGCATGGCCATTTGTGTAACTTTGATCTTCAGCAGAAGTGTCGGGTTTGTCATGGAACACAACACGGTATTCTGAAACAGCAGCAGTGTAGGGAGTGGAAACAGTTGTATCATCCTCATCACGAAGCAATTGGTCTAACTCAGGCCACACTAACTCTTTCCTGAAGAAGCAAAGTTTGACAAAATATTACATATTCATTCTTATAGGCATTTGTTGACTACTAGATGATTTCACATATTAAAGACAAAATTTGTATTATTTTCTAATACCATGCAGTGAAATCATCCTCAATACATTGATCATCGTCTCCAAGACCAACAGGAACAAGGCGCTTTGCACCTGCAAATAGTGAAAACTATAACATCAGATGATGGGTGAAGCATCAACAAAGCAACATGATACAAAGAGCCAATTACCAATTAAAGCTAGATTAATCATTCTTAATTAACAAATGTTGTAAACTGCAATGTAGTAAATGAATGGTTCATGCCATACTGAGGCCCATAGAACAAATTGGCAAATGGTACACAATTTTCATAGAAACTTTCCCTAGATACCAAGTACTAAGGGTGAAACCTTGAGGTCCAACTCAACCGGCAAATAAAGGCTAGGCCTTGGGGTTCCTCCCCATTAGTAGCCAGTTCGAATCTCCTCATAGCCACCGGGAATTTTATTAGCTGTTATCTTCTGGGCCCTATGGGATTAGCCGAGGTGAGCGCAAGCTGGCCTGGACACTCATGGTTACCAAATAAAGTACTAAGGGCGAACATCATAACAGTGCCATACCAGCTGAGTGTTAGATGAAATGAGACTTGATGCTGAGATAAGTGCATACAAGTACCAATGTAGTTTATTTATGACAAATTACTGTATAAAGTTCCTCGTGTTGCTTTATGGTTTATAAAGTACTTAAGTTACTAACATAACTGGACAAAAACAAATTATCATCCTCTTGATAAGCAATATAGCCAATACTCTTTTTAAAGTTAAACTGGATATGTAAGGAAATGAATATACCCTGCTCCGCAAGATTCTCATCGACCACCTTTGCAATCTGCATATAATGAAAATTAAGAAAAGAACTAAATTTAGCATAAAGTAACATGTAACAGAACATTTATAACGATACGGTTGTTTAATCGTCTAAAAGGATAACATGATATTAACTGTTACCTTGTTGAAATGCTCATATTGTCTGTTGCCAAGACCAAATACTCCATATTGAAGCTTTCCAAGCCATTCTTTTTTCTCATCGCCCTACATGGGTAGCAAGAAATTTTAACTCAACAAGCAAATCCTGGTTGGATACCACATTGATCTACAGCTTGCACAATATTTACCTCGGCAAACCATTTATAGAATCTGGCTGCATTATCTGTTGGCTCACCATCTCCATATCTACACAACCAATCATCATACCCAAACTCAATTAGTAGGTACAACCACCTACCACATCTTTATGCAATTATATATACACACACACATATATTCATAATTAAATACTCACTTATGAGATTGCAACACTTGACCAAATAATTTAACTCAAAAAGATTCCAATTATAGAAATCTTACAACTTTGATGGAAGGGGGAGGCGGAGGGGGTAAATACAGCAGAGGTAGCAATTAAATTAGAAAACTTACGTGGCCAAAAAGAAAAAGGCCAAAGATTCCTTCTTTAGTTTCTCCTCATACTCATCATCATCAGCGGCATAATCATCCTACATTTAGAAAACAAATTCAATTATGATTCACGATCCAATTGGCTGATAAAGCTTTGAGAATTTGTAATTTCGCATGAAGTATCAAAGCATCTGATTGCACCATATGCATCAAAGTTGATCTCTAGAAAGTTAATACTCACCAAATCAATTACTTTAAAGACCGCCTTTTCATATCGAACTTTAGCTTCCTCAACAAGTGCCTTTAAACAACAAGATATGAATGTCAATAACGCTGTAACTTTTTATGATCGAAATTTTCAAAGTGTTTCAAACGTATGAATTAGCAAAAGTTCTTCACCTTAGCGAAACCTTCAGCTGTTCCAGTTTGCGTGCCAAAGAAAACCGTAACCTTTTTCTTACCGTCATCAACCTCCTCCTCCTTAATTTTCTTTGGTACCACAATCACCGGTGTCTCAAAATCCTTACCCGACTTCTTCGTGGAGGATCTCCGCCACACCAAAACGACAACGCATCCAATCAACACAGCAACCGACGTCGTTAGTATCATCAACAGCTCACGATTCTCCATTAGCATCGCTAACGCCGGCGGCATCGTTGATTCCCCCGATTCTGATGCGTTTGATGTGTCTAAAACTTTGCCGTTAAAAATAGCACTCATCAGATCAAACGGCGAAATCTTGACGGAGTTGGATTGCATTTTCCCCCAAAATTCAAACGATCCAACAACAATCTTTGCCGGCGAGAAAACGGTGGATGGGAGAATCAGAGTTTAGAGAGAGAAAATCGGAAGAAATGAAGTGTTTCTCTCTCTAGATTCTCTCTGAGGATTGGTAGGGGTAGTTGGGAGAAAGCTATTGACTTGAGGGGGGTTTTATGGAGGGTAGAAAGAGAGGAGCCAACGCCTACCAAACCACACTGGTCAGCCACACCTACCTTTATTTAACCATGGTTAGTTTTAACATTTTAATATTATATTATTATGTGTAAATGACATATTTTATAATCATATTTAATATACATGAAATAAAATAACAATCTCATTAAAATTATTTTTGGTATTAAAATACACATTCTAAAATTTTATTGGTTTTAACTTGTTAACTCATCTGATTTATTTATACTATATTATAAAGTATTTGACAAAAATTCTTAAAAATTATTTTTTATGTATGAAGTATTGTTTATTGATATATATATATTATTTAAAATTCAAGATTAAGTAAATTATATGTAAGTATAACTTATTAAACTTTCATGTTTGAATTCGTGTAACTAACTGCAAATAAATATAATAAATATTAAATAGAGGATAAACATCTCATTTTAAATATAAAAGATCTAAAATATAATTAGGATAATGATTGATTCTAATAAAATACTTAATTATTATTTTTGTAAAAAGTTGTATTATTAAACCAAATATAAAATATGAATTAAAGAAATACACAAAAAATGGGAAATTTTAAATAGTTAGTTTGGTACTAATATCAATCTTTTTTTCCATTTTTATGATATATTTTTATATTTATATTTTATTCAAAAATAAAAACATTATTGTTTTCTCAAAACCACATAAAACCGTATTATAACATCGACTAAGACAAAAAAAAATATCTTCAACGAAATAAAAACATTATTACTTTTATATTTATATAATTCAACATAAATATTTCAAGATTCCAAAAATGAATTCGAAAAAATATCTTCAATGAAATTTTGATATATATGATCAAATGAAGTTTATCATCAATACCGCTCAAACTTGGTTAAACATATTTGTCTGAATTAAGATTACGGGTGAATAATATTACTATTTATTATTTAGTGTTAGTTTTTATTAAAATTAATATTTGCATAATTTTACACTTTTTCAGTTATAGTATAAAATTATATATAAGTTTTAATTGTTTTTCAGATATGCTAACAAAATATATAAATTAACAAATTAAAATCAATATAGAAAAGTGAATTTTTTATAATTTTATAATATATATATATATATATATATATATTAAATTTATATAATACTCTATAAATAAAATTACATTTTTTAAATTAAAAACAATAGAAATTGAGATTTTTGTAGAAACCTCCAGTGAAATTGTATTTAGATTCTTATTTTGTTGATGTGACAGTAAAAATATAGCAAATGAAGTTTTTAGAGGTTCTATCATTGTGAATGCTCTTACGTATAACATATATATGGAATAATTGGACTAATTATGTAATATTTTTAGTTTGAAGTTATCTTTTTAATTTCATAAACTATTTTTTATCATGTAATATGTATTTGGGAATTAGATATTATAAACATTTTTTTTGTCTGGACTATCATCACATTATCGTTGATTTTATAATAAAGTTTAAATCTAGTAATTATTGGATTGTAATTAACCACATCGCAAAGTTCTCCATAATGCATGTTTTTACGATTTGAGATATATGCGGTACAGTTTGCAGTTTGGAGTCATCGCATTTGAACCTCCGTGGTCATAAGAGGATTTTTATTATTCATTGGATTCAAACCTATACCCTCCAAATGCTTTTGACATTTGAAGCTCAAGCTCAAACCAATCGGACACCACTCTTATGGTTAAAGGTTCCCACTTGGGTTTCATCTAGTCCAAAACTAGAATATGAAAAAAGACTCGAGAACACAACGTAAAAACTTGAGAACATGAATTTTTTTCCTTTCCCTCATGAAAGAGACTCGAGAACACAACGTAAAAACTAAGATTTGGAAGGCAAGTTATATGTAAGGGGCCGTTTATTAAATGCTTACCTACCGGGTAATTTTTCTCACCGGATGAACATAGCAAGACCCAAGAATCTTACCCGGAAAGAGTGATCATAAAGATGGAGAGTTTTATCCGGTAAGTGAGGGTAATGACTCTTATTCGAGTAAGCGTTTACCAAGTGAATTGTTGCATATCATTCCATTTTGATGTACTACGATCTTATCCTTAAAATAAATTATAGTATTGACTTATAATCGTAAACGCTTACCGGATAAACATTTAGGTAAACAACCCCTAAACTGTGTCTTAACCCAAAAAGTAAAGCCGTCATTTTTGTAAGTATGTATTTTCTGGACCTAAATATTGTTTACTAATTATTTAGCTTTCCAATTTGGAATGCTATTATTTTATTTTTAAATTTTCAAATAAGACCTGAATTTTGCATCATGTTTTCGTCCTACATTGAAAACAAACCATTTTATATGGATTTTATTTTTCAGTTCAATTATTATTATTATTTTGATTAACCTGGATATCCAACCCGATATACGAGCTGACTAATTCAGAACGACCACTTGCTTTGTAAATAGCTCGGAGTCATCGCATTTGAATCTCCGTAACCACAAGAGAATTTTTATTCCTTCTTGGATTTGAACCTGAAACTTTCTAAAACTTTTGACTCTTAGAGCCAAACTCGAACCAATCAATTCCGTTATTTTGATACTTCTGTTTTCATTGAAAAAACATTAATTATTTAAAAAACACTTTTGGGGTTTTTTAAATTATTTTTGTGTTTTTTATTATTTATTTTTTGTGAATGTGATTTGTGGGTGTGTGCGTGTTTGGGTGGATGAACGTGTTCCGTCTTTTTGGAAACGCGATTCAGAAATGGTAAATATTTTCAAAAAAGACCCTGAAGTATTAACGAGTTTGCAAATAAGAACCTGTAGTAGAAAAATAGAAGGCGTCTGAAATCGGCATGTGCTCTAACATGTCCACCATTAAAGACACGCGGATTTGGTTTTGACCGACCCCACACGCCTTTATAATGCCAATTTTGAGTTTCTATGCTTGGTGTTGTTTAAATATAAAAAGTATTCTTAAATTCATTTAAGTAAAAAAGTAAGACTGTAGGGTTAATAAAAAATTCATATAACCCACAAGGGTGGTGACTGATTGGTTTGAACTTGGTTTCAAAGGTCAAAAGTACCAGGAGATCACAAGTTCAATTCCAATGAGAAATAAAAATCCCCTTGTGGCCACAGAAGTTCAAATGCGGTGACTCCGGGCTATCTGCAAAGCAGGTACTCGCCCTGGGATTAGTCGGCTCGCATAGCGGGTTAGATATCCAGGTTAATAAAAAAAAAGATTCATATATGAATTATTGAAAAATTTATTTGGAGATGTATATATGAATTCATATGAATAATCTACTATGATGGTTCACATAGGGATGCAAAAAAACCTGACTAACCTGGCTAACTCAATTCGAAATAATCCAACTCAACCCGAAGGGACTTGATATTTAATCGAGTTGTAAAATCTTCAAACTGTAGGCATTGATTGGAATTGTGTTATGTCCATTTGAATCTAATCCAACTTGATGAACCTGACACCTTTTTATATAATGATTAAGGGGTTGTTTGACAGTTGTTGAATGGTTTGGTGTAGAATGATTAAGTGGTCCGAATAATTAAGAGACTCTTACGATATATTGCAAAATATAACTGTTTGGTAATTGTTCAGGATGAAATTAGGGCGTTGAATGGTTAAGGGAGACCCAAGATACAAAATCGTTCAGAAGGTTTTAGAACCATTAAGAGACATACTTTTTTTACCAAACAAGATTCACCTTTTAGCGATTCAGATGTTGCATCTTAATGAAACTATTAAGATGTAAACAAACAACCTCTTAATATGGTTGTTAAGTCTTTAATTAATGCATATACATTAGACATTAGACATTAGACAAACCCGTAAATAACAATATTCATAATTTTATCATAATTTCAACCGTAATTTTAGTTTATTATTTGCATAAATCTTCAACTTTCTTCTTTGAGTTTGTTAACTTTATTTGTATGTTCTCAATTTGATACTACTTCATTTAAACACAATCGCTTAGGGTTGGGTTAAAAAATTTCAAACCATAAACATTGGGTTTGATTGTTCAAATGTTTACAATCTGACCAACCCAACACATGTGCAGCCCGACGAATATGCATCTTCAAATAGATTATTTTGGATTTTTTTTCCAGTGGATTCACATATGAATTTTTCCTTAACCCTTCATTATTACATTTTTCTCGATAATCAATCTTCTTATTTGAACTAACTCATATATATAGAAGATTTCAAATACAAACCATGTAAATGTTACACGTCCTACAAACCAAATCTCGGCTCTTATTTTGTGTATTTTGAAATTTAGAGGTATGTGATTGAGAGTAAATTTAGAAACCGATTTAATCCATATTGTTGATTATCTACATGGATTAGTTTGTAAGGTTTGTAACATCATCATGGTTTGCATTTGAAACACACACACACACACACTTTCTCTCTCTCTCTCTCTCTCTCTCTCTATATATATATATATATATATGTGTGTGTGTGTGTGTGTGTGAGTGTACGTACATACATACATACATACATACATACATACACATATATATATATATATAATGTATTTCAAATACAAACTATACAAATCCATCACAACCATCTACTAATTACAAATTATGTTATTTTTAATTTAATTAAGGGTAGTTTAGTCCTTTTATCGTTTGTATGTTCTGTGTAACTATATGATCTCATTTTCCTTGATTATAGGATTGTATTACGTAAATATGGTTGGATTAATAAACCAGGTTATATATATATTTATGACTATCGCCTTTAATTTTATGTCGGCATTTTTAAGATTAAATGTTCTTTAACGATTATTGATAGATTCTTTTATATGATAAGTACTGATCATGTAAATGAGATATTTGTCCAACATGTATTTCTTTAGGATGTGGCGGAAACTACCTTCACTTTTCAGAATCACAATGGTAAATCATATAAGAAGCACAACTTGGTTCACTTACG